CTATTAGAAACCAGCAGGCTGAATCAATGACCAAATTTACCAACAGACCCTTGAAACCCATATGGACTCAACAACCCTTATTTCAGTTACCTGCTTCTTCCATATGGTTACACGTGTACTGGAGGTAGGGGGTAGCAAAGCAAGAGTCAATTATGGGTATTCGTGTGGTTTGGATTTAAGGGGATGATACAGGGTCTTACTTTTCTTCAAATTTCAAGTATCGATCTGTCCGATAAATTTTCGATATAAATCGCGAAATATTATTTCGCGTAATTTCTCGAAAATTACTCGCGATCGGTATACGAGTGAGATTTCCAGCGACAGGGACGGGATTTTACGAATCGGTGCGACAGAGAGGCGCTTGGCTCTGCGACGCTATTCGTTATCGGCTAATCCGTGGGAAAGTATAGTTGCAGGCGCGGCCACGATACGGCGCTGTAAGCCGAGACGAAGGAGCCTCGGCTAATCTTGCTCGATATAACCTGCGATGGGGTCTACACGGTTGGACATCAACTACACGATTATCCCCGGGAGTTCCTAACGATCAGGTCGATTCCCATACTCGGCCGAGCCCTAATACAGCAGACGCCCATCGGGGGCCGCAATGACGATCGCAGGATGGACTTGATCCCTACGCTCGTGACGTCACTAACCCACTCGTTACTACGTCCACCAAAAATCTCACAATTTCTTCTAGGTGGATGCTGTAAGAAAAAAAAAAAAAAAAAATAAAATCATCCAAATATCATCGTAGGAGCAAAAAATTTTGTAAAGCCACTCAGATCGGTAACTCGGATGAAATCTTAAAGAATAACTCATAGAACGATAACGATACTCCTCGAGCATGACGTTTCACAGATCAATGGACCGATATCAAAAAATTTCAGTCACAAGATTACATATGCTCCACTAAGAGATACGAATATTTTTATCTTCCACGTTAGTAGCTTTTTCTCTTCCTTTTTTTTCCCCCTGTGTTACGTCATATCGATGTTCCCGCATAAATACGGATGTCCGGATGAAATATGTATTTCGCGATGACGTAACCATTACTTTGTCAGTATCAACATTCCCTGGCTCCTCCCGCGCGAGCGTCCTTCTCTTTTTCCTCCTTTCACCGAATAACTGTACCCGGCGTGCACTCGTGCGGATAATAAGCACAGCTTGAAACCCCGACCTAGCCCAAAGGCAACGAAGCCACGATTTGTAACCCTTTGGCGACCTAGAGCGACGAAAGGGTGGCAGGTGCAGTCGAACTGGGCTACGGGGTCACCGTTACTTGTGTATACGTATAATTTATCCAAGTCCGCGTATGACGTCATATAGAGACCATCATGCCGGTACAGCAATATTAGTCGGTATATCGCTACAAAGTAATACAATATACTGCTGTAATTTCCCATGGGGGAGTCAATATGGTTTTACTTTAATGCCTTTTATACCTATATATATGTATATGTATACATACGGGAGATACACACCTGTGTACTCCGAAGGAAATTCAATCTCGCAGGACCACAAGGACTGTCTTTCACTAGAGACATTAGCATCGGTCGCGAATATCCGGTGGGTAGAGGAGACTAGGGGGGGGGGAGGGGTCCAGAAGTGCTTTAGAATGGGACTGAATGGAAATGGGTGGAAGAGGCAGGGGGGTGGAATGGAATCGAACGAAATAAGAATGACGTAGCAGGGGAGGGGGGAGCGTCCCAAGAGAGTTTCTTGGTCTTTTCATTTATTCGTATCCTCGATGAGATCCAGAACTCTGGAACCTCCCCAGGCCTCCAGAGGAGGGTTCCTTCCCTCTTGCCCCTGGGAGGCGACCTCTTGCTTTCCGAAATAAAGTACCTTACAACGGGCCGACGGCGGCAATTTCCTCGATGTAGGTCAGGTACTTCGTTAAGGTTACTACCTACCACGATTTTCCGACTCCTTTTCCCAATCTGACGGTAATTGCCTCGGATCTAATCAGCCGAGAAACACAAAGCAGTCCCACTCGAATTACGGGCACGGTCTAACTTTTAGCCGAATTCCTGCCTTTTTCCAGGTTTCGTAATCGCTCGGGTTTATAACGGGGGGGATCATTGTTATACCTTGTTTCCGTAACTTTATGTCGGGTCATTTCATTTACCTAGTCCGTGTCCCACTGCCCCATTCTCTTGCTACTCTTTTTATATTTAGCTCGCTCGTAGGCGTTCTTTTATTTAGCGGCGGACGCCTCGCTCTGCTCTGTCGGTAAGGTAGGGAGCGGTGTATGGCGTCCTACGAGTCACAGGACTCAGGAGCGGCAGTCAAAGAAAATAATGCTGGGGAAGAATCAAAGTGGTTTGTTTGCGTTGGGAATAAAAAATAAATTAAGAAACTACCACTGGGACGACGTCAGGTCGTGATTTTCTCTCTTTTTTTTTTAATTCTTTCGTTCTTTTATTTTGTCAGACTTTCGCAGCTTTTTCCTGTAATTCTGCTGGCTGATTAACTTCGGACATTATCGCTGCTGCAAGGGCGGAAGACGAGAGTGGTGAGTGTCCCGGTATAACGGGTGGTGAAAAAAAAAAGAGAGAAAAAATAGAAAGAAATAAAGAAGCGGAAGTTGTGCTCTCTCTTTCTTTCTTTTTTTTTTTTATTTTCAAGCAATAACAAAAGGCGAGCCCGCGTGCAAAAAATGCGACACCTCATTGTCTCGAGGACTTCTTCTCGCCTCCGCGGGACGTCGCCCCTCACAATTAAAACTACCCCGTCGCGTCTTCAAACTCGATGCTTTCCCCTTGTGACTTAATTACATTTGCAATTGCTGCGCGTCCCGACGCCTCACGCCGTATTTCCCTTTTTACCGAGTCCTTTTATTCAGGTGCAGTCATTGTCCCGCGGGGGAGGCGGGAGGGGGGGGGGGCGGCTCGAAAGACGTAAACGTGGAAGCTGTGGTAAACGACGACGACCTAACCTCTAATCGGGTTAAAGATAAACGTTTTAGTTGCGAGAGGTCGTTCGCGACATTTGCGCAATTCTCAAAATGCACCAGAAGGAGCGTTTTTGATATCTTCCTAAGACAATCCAAGGGTGTCATGGCGGTGCACGGAAACGATCTCGTTGGAGAATTTGAATTTGGAAAATAGGCCGGAGGAAATTTGGTCGGTATATAGCGCTTGCCATTCCAATGCAAATTAGATGGGTGGGACTTTGGTCCACAAGGTTTGCCGAAGCTTCTCGCTGCTTCCCATTAGCTTTGAATTGCATCCGATATGAGAATCCTCGAAGAACGTTAGAGGAGATATTTTGTCCCTCAAAGGGGGAACAGAGTAGTCGGGAGTACAGTAGCTGGTACGTGAGCTTCCGAGAGGGCACCGTGGGAAGGAAAACCACAGCGTCTTGTTACGGCCCTGAGGGGAGGCCTAAAACTTTACGAGACTCGTTGTCACGGCAGATTTTTCTCCTCGATACGACCCTCGCAGAACATTATTACGGATTTCGAATGTATTTCAAGAAAATTTTGTTGTTTTTTTTTCTGATAAGTGGAGAAAATTCATGGGAAATATTTAACGCTTGATACTTTTTACAGTTGGCCTTCTATTTTTTCTTTTTTTTTTTTTTGAAATTTTATACGCGCCTTATTTCCATGCACGCGTGTAAACATGATAAATGGTCGCGTTTCCAAGAAAGCTGTCGTTAAGGAGGCAGCCGGTTTAGGGATGTGAATGTGGCAGTGGGGCCGGGAGTAAGAATCATGCATATTCAGAGGGTTGGTAACGAGGCGGAGAATTTCGAGGTCGAGTTCGAGGAAGTTGATTACGCGAATCTAGAAATACCGAGCGAAGAAACGTCGATGGATAAAAAGAAGAATAGAAAAGAAATTTCAGAAAAAATATCCCAATGACCAAATAAGGGTGAAAATAGAAAATTGTGTTTCTATTCGTAAACGTGGAGGAGGGTTGAAGGGACGCGAAGCATAAAGCCCTGAGATATCAAAATTTCGTAGTTTTCTTAGTTGTCCGCACAGGGTGGAAAGCGACAAGGCACCCGCTGCAGAAATACAAATATTTGTTAGGGGTTGGTATCGAACGAGTAGCTACCCCCCGGTTGCACTTCCCGAAGGCCAACATCTAAACGCCTGGTTGCGCCCCTAGCGGCTTTCACGGAAGCTACAGGATTCGGGCGGGTATCGCATGAGAAACAAATTAATTCGTATTTCCGGTAGGGACTGAAAGGGATTCCTCGTGGTTTGTATAAGACCATCGCCATTACTTTCAATTCCCCTAAGAATACTTCTATTCGTTCCATTTCATCCCTCTGTGAAATAAATCTCCAACAGACTACCCCCTGTGTCCTAGACAGCCACGAACGACCCCTCACAACTATATTCTGGTTCTTGTGTATATTTCACGCTTTTCCCGTACAATGTCTCGCGATAGGATAAGAATCTATATTCTCATCTATAATTTTTCTCATAGGCCTACAACCCTCCGAAATCTCTGGGATATTTATTAAATTTTTACAAATTTCGACTTTTCATCCTCATTGCAAAAAATTATCTTAAAATACGAACTGGTCCTACGTCAGGTACAGCCAACCCCTACGATTTAGGCGCCAGTGTCTAGAAACAAGAACTCGCTGTGAGAGGTTAGAGCGGGGCGGGAAGGGGGTAGGAGGGAGAAAAGCCGATCAGAGAGAAACGGAGAGAAAGTTGCAAAACGGGAGAAAATCCCTCTGAAATATGATAAGTGATTTTACTTGTCAAGAGTTATATGAGCAAGTTGTAACTCCTATTCGTTCCTGGCAAGATCACATTTTTCTTAAGGTGTTCACCCAGTTTCTCAAGGGTGGCATTTGTGCCTCGTTGCGTCCTTAAAAAATGTCCCGGTACTTGTGAATTTTTTTTTTAAGAAAAATCTTTACCAGCCTTAACCGTATCTGTACGAGTCTATCGCTCTCTGTCCTATTGAATATTTTTCATTGAATTAAGGCTGGCGAAACTTTTTAAGGATTAAAAATACTGAGTTATTATTAACCTTCGATCAGCTGGTCCAGCATGGCGTATATATGCGAAGTGGCTTCATCCGTCATTACCCAGCCTCCCGTAGTCATTTCGAGACGACCCTCCTTGACGAGCCTCTTGACGACCGCCTTCTTCGTCGGGTGGGCGCTGCAAAGAGAAAGAAGAGGATAGAGAATTATCGAAGGTACGGTCGAACGAATCCTCCGGAGGACTTCCAAGAGTCCCTTAGGACTGGCCAGAGTGAAGCTGCGAGGATCTCTCCCACTCGATTTAATTCTCCTGCTCTTCTCCCAAGAAAGGAGAATAGATGGAGAAGGGTAAAGATAACGAGTGGATAAGAGAAAGAGAGAAAAGAAACTCTTCAATTTGGAGATTCGAATCTTCTCCGTGACGCGTAGAAAGGACCGATTGAATTCGTACAGTTTACTTTGGAAGAGGCTGCGGCATATCGAATGGACCAGCGAAACCCATTAAAATACAAAAACAGCCAGTCGGAATAAAAGCCCGATTTATTCCGTAAAAATTTTAAAAATTCATTGATTTACAAAAAAAAATTGTTATCTCTTCCCCTACATCTCAAAGACAAGCGGACAGTCGTTTTCTCAGATTTTTAAATAAGGTCCACGAAAAACTTACAGCATCACTGGACGTTAATTGCGAGAAAAACTTCCTGAATATATAGATATAGTATATTCATATTATTTCCTGAAAAGCAAAATTCCCTGTATGCTTTGAAGTGGCACTTGCATGCACTTGTGTGCACTTGCATCCTATGCACTCCCAGGAGTAGCGAAGCGTCGAGGCCAACTCGGATGGCTTCCTTTTCACGCGACCGTCCTTTGTTTCCGTACCCTTTCATTCCTTTCACCCTCCACCCTTTTTTATCCACCCTCCAGCACCCCCTCGGCTCGACTGCATCTCCAATGAGACAAGTCACTTGTCGTCTCACTTTCTCCGTGAAAGTTCAACCGGCCCTGACGGCTCATTTTACAAAGGTCCCTCGTCCGAGATACAGATCCCGAGAGTAGATCCAGCAAACGCGCTTCCCAGCATCCCGCAGGGTCCAGACTGACTTAAGCGAGTAGAAAGTCAAAAGAAATAGAGAAAAAGCCCGAAGTAGGACTTCGGTACGAACTCAGAGAATCCAAAGTGGGAAGCGAGAGGGATCTCGAGATTGGATTAATTGTTCGGATGCTGTACCTCTCCCACCAGAGTGATAAGAACGAGACTTCGCTCCAGATGAAGGTCATGTTCGGCAACTGCTGGAGCTTCGTGACCATGTTGTTCAGAATACCCCTGGTGGAGCTGTGGAAGTATTGCTCGAAGGTCTTAAGCCATCCCGGATCAGTGTGACTGTGCGGTACGAGAATAACCTAAAACAGAGAAAAAAAAGAAGATTATTAACCAAAATCAATTTTCCATATAAATTTAACACTGGACCGATCAGCGTATTTTCCAGTGTACTCGAGTATACGGAACATTAAGATTAGAGGGGTCGATGAAAAAAATACATTGCAATATTCGTTCACTCTACCGTCCTATAATCTCTAGTGAAGGAAATTATCGGGAAGCTTCGAAAAAGCAATTTGCCGTGTGAAGAGCTGAACTATGACCTCCGGGTAATTTTAATTGTACTGTCCTCATTTGATTTGATATCATCGATATTCGTGATAATACACAGAGAAATCCGGAAACAGTGTAAATAGAGTCTCTGGATGGCCGATTGGTAATTTTGTGAAATCCCGCTACGTGTCTCGTATCTACGTGGTCCATGTTTAGCCGTTGCGATTCCCGCTAACAATGTGCTTTGGCGTTGCGCCGGCGTTGTGCCTCGTAAAGATCAGCGGCTCTCACCGGTGACCCCCGATTGTGACTCCGTGACTTTAGCTCGCCGCGAGTGAACGCAGACCGTAAAAATTCACGACTGTACAAAGGGCGCATTGCGCGTCGCTTTCGAGCGCCAATGAAAACTAGAGAAAAAAAAACACCCGTTTATTATTGCATCTAGTTACGAGCTTGTATATTTACATTGTAAACCCGGCTTTTATTATTTCCTCTCTACGGTGTTCGTAAAGCATGCCCCCCCGTGCGAGATGAATAAATTAGCACTGGCCATAGGCTTACGTTGATCGTTGCTATGGCAATAGGGGTAAAAATCAAAATAATTTTTTTTAAGGGTTGAGCGTCGCTGTCGCAAAGGCGATATATTCGTCCACTGGTAATCAGCATATGGAAAGCCAATGGCACGTTAAGCCGTGATAGGTAGTTCGTAATAGAGAGCCTGTCGGGGGTTGGTTCGCCGATGCTCCTTTTGCCTCGATAGAGGGATGAAAATTAAGGGTCGTACGAGACGAAGCTATTGGATTTGGGCTCTGGAACGACGGGCCAGCTGGCTCGACGTTGCAAAGGGGGTGGAAATCCGGCAGATGAGAAAGTATAGGAAAAGTGGTGATCGAAGTATAAGGGTAGTCGGGGATGGTGGTCATCGGTTAAAAAGCACGTAAACACCCTGTAGAATTTTAATGAATGCCCGCACGAACGTCGCTCGCGTCTCGCGTTAATTAGAGGGTGGAAGAGGCTGCGCGTGAAAGCTAAGCCAAAGTTGGAAACGGGAACGGATGAAGGTTCAAGCTCCGACAGAACCTTATTGATATGCATGAAACTGCGCTTAGGTACTGGACCCCTTTGATACACCCCTGGTACTCGGTATCCCTTCACCTGCCTACGACTAGGACTCACCCTTAGATCAAACACACAACCTTCACCCTGTTTCCCTGAATTCTCTTTCAGGCTACCTTCTCCCTCCTTCAACTTCTTCATGGCTTTCTCTTATTCGTATCCTTGCCATAGGTACTGAACCCCTTTAATACGGCCCTGGTACTCCCTATCCCTTCACCTGCCTACGACTAGGACTCACTCTTAGATCGAACACACACAACCTTCACCCTATTACCCTGAACCCTCTTTCAGGCTACCTTCTCCCTCCTTCAACTTCTTCATGGCTTTCTCTTATTCGTATCCTTGCCATAGGTACTGAACCCCTTTAATACGGCCCTGGTACTCCCTATCCCTTCACCTGCCTACGACTAGGACTCACTCTTAGATCGAACACACACAACCTTCACCCTATTACCCTGAACCCTCTTTCAGGCTACCTTCTCCCTCCTTCAACTTCTTCATGGCTTTCTCTTATTCGTATCCTTGCCATAGGTACTGAACCCCTTTAATACGGCCCTGGTACTCCCTATCCCTTCACCTGCCAACGACTAGGATTCACCCTTAGATCAAACACACAACCTTCACCGTGTTTCCCTGAATTATCTTTCAGGCTAACTTCTCCCTCCTTCAACTTCTTCATGGCTTTCTCTTATTCGTATCCTTGCCATAGGTACTGAACCCCTTTAATACGGCCCTGGTACTCCCTATCCCTTCACCTGCCTACGACTAGGACTCACCCTTAGATCGAACACACACAACCTTCACCCTATTACCCTGAACCCTCTTTCAGGCTACCTTCTCCCTCCTTCAACTTATCCATGGCTTTCTTCTATACGTATCCTTACTAGGTACCTAGGTACTTGCGCCTGACTAAATTTGAATTGCTCCTCGGATGCGGATCATCCTAATGTTTAACCATGGAGATAAGCTCGGAAATTTATCAACTTGAATTACACCCTTAAAAGGATTTCTCGTGTGATAGCTCCTCGGGAACATTTATGGAGTCTACTTCAGATTCAAATCTTTTATCCGGTGCGTCATATATTTTTTTGCTTCAAACGTATTTCCATCTACACCGAATATTATTTTGACAGGTGGATGATTATTTGCGAGGAACAGGGAAAAAAATATTTATAGACCGTACACGGGTTTCCAATGCAGGACTCGGGGCGCCTCAGGGATTTTGGTTTTACGTCTTTTTCGACTCGTAAGTCGCGAATGTTCGAGAAACCCCTTAAAACTTTACCCTGTTGTTTGTTCCCGCACATATTTTACTTCTTTTTTTTTTCGCAAACATCACTCATCGATCTGCGAGACAAGTTCGCCCCGAGGAGTCGGCCGAGGAAAGGAGAAAAGTGAAAAGCATAGGGGATGAAATCTCCCTTGTACTATTTAAGAAGTTAGGATTCTTTTTCTTCTTTTTCCATACAGTCGAGGGGATCTAATAATGATAACAAACTCGTCAATGGGATAGCACGAGATATCCAGTATGAGGGTAAAATGTATGTTCGAAGGACGGAAGTCGAGGCGCAAAGCGCTGCTACCAGGATCCTTTGTGACCGGGAAAATCCTGTGCTCCTTTAGCCGCCGCATGAACGAGAGCACTTTGGTTCGCGCTCGCACCGTAATATCCCGTCTTTTATGTAATCCTTGGGTCGAGAGTCGAGAAGCAGCCTTGAGGATAGTCGCCAGATCCATTTCTTACGCGGGAAACACAAAGAGGAACTGCACTCTGGGTCGAATGCAAATATTTGCATTTAGGTTATGCAAACCGTGCGTCACCGTGGACGCGGATTAAACATGTACAGGAGATGTTATGGATATGTGACAAAATTTTTTTTTTTTCAAAGTCACAAAAAGCTCGAGTTCATTTAAGATGATTCAAAGGGTATTCAAAGATCCGAGCCACGCCACGTTGGATGTAACCATCTATTTGCCTACGCAGCTTCTTTTTGATAATCTTTACGTGGAATCTCTAAGGGAATCGTTCTCGAAGGTTGAGACGATAGAGATTTGAAAGACAGAGTGATAGGTGAAGGGAGAGAGAGAGAGAAAGACACTTTGAGACTCTCGTAAATACTCGAGGTCAACATCAAATAAGCGAAGCCCTCAAACACCCTTATTCTATAATCTCATTTTCATGGGTTTCAGTCTCAGAAGGACGTTTTATCTCAAGATCGAAAAAATTGAATGGTCCATTCTGGATACTGAGATATATACCATTCAATAGATAAAAAGTAATCGACAAGCTACTCGGCTACAGTTAAACCCTCGTGCAAATAGTTGGCTTAATTAATATATGGAAGTGGAGGAATATAAAATTCTTGAAACGTCACGGAAGCCATCTTGAAATTAGTCTAGAGTGCACTCGAGAGTCAACGAGTCTTGCTTGTACCGGATAGAGCGACGCTCGGCGTCGCTAGCGCCTCCCCAGTCGGTTTCTCATCCAAAGCAGGAGGAACGTGACATAAGGTATCCTTCAGTATTATAAATATTCTTGTGAGTTCTACGAGTCCTGAAAGTCCTGAGGGCTACCGGGGCAAACGACCCCTGCGCGCCTCCTCGTAAATGCGTCTCACGCGAGAGTCGACCTCGTAAAGCACTAGAACGTTCTAGAAGGTTCCGAGCGATGAGAAGATTTTACAAAGGGGGGAGTGATAAGAGAGAACGAACGGGAGAATCATGGGAGAGTGAAAGAGAAAAACAAGGTTGGTAGGAGGACAGGGGATGCGTGATAACTCGTGTGGAAATTATTGTAAAGACTATCCGATGTCTTTTGCTATAGTCTAGGTTGAATGCGGTCATATACCTAAACAGTCATGGCCTGTAATAAATAGAGATACGTTTTCATGCAAGATATATATATATATATATATATATATATATATATATATATATATATATATATATATATATATATATATATATATATATATATATATATATATATATATATATATATATATATATATATATATATATATATATATATATATATATATATATATATATATATATATATATATATATATATATATATATATATATATATATATATATATTCGTATCGTGCATATATATATACAGTAATGGATATCGTAGGATTTCGTGTCACGAGATCGTACGAACATGCACGAAGAAGAACGATCTGCTTGAGATATTTATGAAGGACAGCAAAGCAATCGGAATAGCACGTGGAGTAGGAAAGTTTTTTTCTTTCCGTAAAACAAGATGGCGGGTCACGCTACGTTAATTATTCTCGCGCGACTCCTATTTCCCTTGTCATTTCCTCTGGCATCCTTACCGCTAGGTTTCCCCTCTTGTAATTTTCCTAGTTTACATCGGCCCACCGTAGGCCTGCGCCAAGTCGAGAAAGACGATTACTCATAAGCCAAGATAACTCGTCTGGCAAAATCGCTCCTTCCGCGCGATCGAACATTCCCGAAACTCGGCAACGAAACCTAAGCACGAAGTATCGGGGAACGAAGGGAGGGAAGGAAAAAGGAAAAGAAAAAAGAAAGGACAGAGAGAAACCAAACGATAATACAGGGAGAGGATAAAAAAAAGGAATAGGGTTCAAGAAGAAATGTATCCACGCTCTCGTATCCCGATAAAGAAAAGCCGTTAAGTTTAAGTATAGTTCGGAAAGTTTCCGCCGCAGGCTCGTGGCGGTTAGTAAAAAGGAGGAACGACGAAAGTGGATCGGGCAGGGCCCCAAGATCTTAATAATGCACGGTGTCCGGTAATTCCTTCGCCATTAACTTTCGATTGATATTGATCTTACGCGCCAGCGGAGCTCGGTCCGGAAGATTCGAAGAGGATCGGAGCTAATCGGTGGCTCATGGACGTTTCGGAGAGAAATAATCGTTAGCGAATTAGGTACGGAAATTCATTGTTATTACGATATTATATATATACACAGCGGATACGTATATTGTATGTGAAAACTTTGAGCACGGAAAAACAGGAAACTAAAAGCGGTACAAGGCGAAAGCGCAAGACCTATAGAAATTGTGGTAATAAAACGAAGAGGCTCTGAGCGGCTTAAACCACAATCAAGAGGAAGCGCGGGAGATTTGAAAATCGCGCGAGGAGTATCATTAAAGCGGAGAACGAGATAAACGAGGAGATAGTATTAAGGGGGTTGGTTTCTGTGATATTCACGAAGCGCAATTTCAGGGATAGACTATAGGCAACAGAAATTCCACAAGTGCCGTCAGATTCCGTGGATGCATAAATTTAATAACGACTCGATTAATCGCGGTCACGATGCCGAATTCCTTCTCGGCGATACCGCGACTCTCGTTTATCCGCAAAATAGTTTCTCGGAGTCCCCAGCGGTTTGCAAATTTGATTATAAAGAAATTTCATTGATATATGAAAAATTTCGAAAAAATTTCCAAAAAATTTCCAAAATTCACCTCCAGCCCATTTTTCTCTTTCCAGCATCGCCACTCACGTCGCACGACTTTTGCGCTTGGATAAGTTGACGAGTATCACGGTGAAAATAAAATTGAGAACCACTGCTGCTTTGTAATAATCGAGAACGTACGCTTTTTCGCTCGGATTGAGAACGACGACGCCACCAGGCAGCGACGGCGTTCGGCAATCTGATTCCCTTCCGTAGGATCTTTCCGTCCTCGGGCATAAACACGCCAATATTCTCCGATTCTCCCTTAACAAGGGGATAGTGTGCCATATTCGCAGCACTGTTAGCCTGCTACAACATTCCTATATTTCTGCTCCCTCCTGACAGAGCCATAAGAAATAATATTCCTTGAAATTTACACGAGGATCTTGTTAGAAGGGCAATTTGGAGCGTGTGATAAAAATTCATTTTTGAAAAAAAAAATAATGGTCCCTACATTCTCGTACGAAAAAAATTTCTCTCTAGCTACTTACCCAGAAGCAACAGTTTTACATGAAAAAAAAAATTGTATCTCTATAAAACATAGGACCACGCTTCCAGGAGGATACGCGAAATTAAATATTTCATGGTTGATATAAAAGTAAAAAAAAAATTTCGTAATAGTTTGGTGATAAAGTAAAAAGAAAAATGATAAAGATTATAGGGTCGAGAGTAAAAGCACAGTTAGACAAGAGTCAGCTGCGTTTAACGAGGAGACATTACTTCCAGCAGATAAGTATTATTTGACTGGAAGGTTAGGTCGCTCTGTACCCACGTAGCTAGGGTGCTTAGACGCCTGGCCGACCCAACCCAACCTGACCTGACCCAATCCGAAACTATCATCAGCCGCGGCACGAGCGCTCCGCGGCCTCGATTCCTGGCTGCGTCCTGTTCGAAATTCAAGTTCGCAAGCCGGCATAATTGTTGCTCGTCTTTCGGAACACGCCGTCGGGCTCCATTGTATCTGGCAACAATGGCCCATGACGATCTTCCATTGTCAAACCTGTCAAACTCGATTTGCAACGAGGCGAGACACGACGGTCCCTTTACTGGCAGCCAGGTCAAAGTCAAAAATGGCCGTTTTGATTTCAAACGTGACGGATCCCGTTACTTCGATACTCGCTTGATACTTCCGGGTCCGTTTTCGAAGTTTCGTCGCTTCATCGGATGATTGTGAAATTTTTGTAGTCGAATACGTAAAAAAAAAAAAAGGTTGAAATAGGAACAAAAGGATTTTTCAAATTTATAAAAATACCAGAGGCCCATTCAGTCTAACCAGTCTCCCATCTTTTCGTACTTCAATGGATGCTGCTGCTTTTCCGCTGGGCTTATTAGTCGGGTGACGTGTGTGAATTGGTGTTTTTGACAGCCAGGGTTAATAGCGGCTCGAGGTAAACTGACAGATGTCAAACGATCGTAAACATATGGCAGCAGACAGTCTTAGTTACACTGACGAGGGTTAATATGAGGGTTGGAGTGTTTAAATTTATCAGTAAAAAATAAATGAAATAAATAAAGACCCCGGTGAATAATTAAAAAAATTATTTCCTATCTTTGCGTTCCTAACCTCGAAATCTTGAAGTCCGACTAGATTCGCGAGCCGGGAAACCGGCGTTCGGCCTCGGCAAAGCCTTTGGCCTTCCGACCTTTCGACGAATCAGCAGCGCGAGTTACACGTTAAGCTCCAAATGTTTTCGAGCTTACCAAGAGAGAATAAAGCTTCTTAATCTTCCCGGTAGCGAAAGATCCTATCCCCCAATTTCTCCAGGTACTTTTTTTTTTCCTCTTCGCCCGTCTTACGGAAACCAGCCCCACCACGTGTCCCGGAGCACAGGCTAAGCTCGCTGCGGCCTCTTCCTCGGCTATAAAGCTTGCAGCTCACGCGCTCAAGTTGAGCCGCAGTGGGGAAACGTGCAGGCGGAAAATTGGAAAACAGAATGATCGAGGTCTCGATAACGATAATTACCGGTCGGCCACTGTTGGGCCACGCTCGGCCGAGCTCACACGTAACATCCTCCAGACTATCCAGTACGTGCTACCAGCCTAGATATCTGATATCGAATAGATAATACCATCTTATCTCGATAGGAGATAAAATTATCTGAAAAGAAAAAAAAATTTCCACCTCAAAAAACACGCGTCACGTTTTATCATTCTCTCTAGATAACCCAAGGATCTTCGGCTGATGTCTCACGAATAGTATGAAATATGAGGCGAACGAAGCCAGAGGCGCGGGGGCACCTAATCCAGGGAGAATGAAAATGGAAAATTCTCTGGCTAGTTCGAGCTACGATCTCAGGATTCGAGTTTTCCACGTATGCGACGTGTTTAACATTCTTTTCCTAGCGAATGAGCTCTCAAGCCGCTGACACGATGAGGAGGTCACGTACAGGGCCGTACCCTGCGGCAATCCCGGAAGGTCCCTCCGCCCTTCGCCCTTCGAATTCCCCTGGGCTCCCTCATTCCGAGCTTCGTCTCCAGCACGTTTTATCATACCGTTCACCCGGGAGATGATGGGGGCTCTCTCTTTCTCTAAGGTTGCTGCTTCCTACCCGTCCTCGTCCAGCCTTCGGCATCCGGCGGAAATGCTCAGGACATTTTTCGGATATTTCCCATGGCTGCGGATAATGGAACTCGCCTAAGGAATGCTCTCGCGAAACTTCACCTCAAGGAACTCGGTCTCGAAGAAGAACTGGTACCAATATCCGTTTTAGCAGCCAAAGACCCTATCAGCGAACCGATCTAGCTCTTCTGGTCCAGCCCATTCATACCCATTCGAACCCGAGGGAAAATATTCTTTGAAAATGAAGACAAGGGTCGTGCTCGAGGTATTTTCTTCAAGGACGACCACTTGACCTCTTCCGGATCAGCATGGACCAGCATGGGCTCTCTTCGAGTATCCTACTTGCAAACTCTTCAGAAAGTTAAGATCTCATCCCGGGATCTAATTGCGCAACATACCGACCTAGTTTCTCGGGGTATTATCTGATATTCTGGAGACCCATCATCTGAGGTCCTTGGCCTAGGTCTGGGGAGCTAGACCAGGTCCTAGACCAGGTCTGCACCTTGTCGCACCAGCGAGAAAGGGACGATGGGGTAAGCTGGGGGTAACGTGATAGGATCTACTTGATTCTCACGAGAGTTCAAAAAAAAACATTATGATTTTTTGGTCAGCGAACTAAAAGCGATTGGACTGTATGAGAAAAAAAAGTGGGATAAATTCTGGCGAAATCGAAGGATCCCCAGGAGTCCTGGGAACGCGAGTCCGTTACTTCCGGCCATTGGAAAGGAAACTTTGGCTGTAATGCGATTTGCGGACCGAGCGACTAGACGGCTTCGACGTAAAAGAGGAACAGCGGATCGACGCGAGGATCGCGAACTTTGCGAATTTCTCGGGAAAATATTTATCGCACTAGTTTCACCGGCGACTGTCCATTTCTCTCGTTATTCGATTTATCTCTCGCGCACGTATATCTATATCCATCGAACTATCCACTTTGGCGGTTATTGCGTCACTGCCGGCAATCGAATATACGATATTACTTATTCAACCTATCCCGTATAGCAATTTTACTATTTTATTACGAGCTACGGATTCTTACCCGGCGTTCGAGTTTACACTGTTCCAGAATCACTGAATAAAAATTTCAGACAAAATATTTTTACCCGTGATAATTTTGACGAATTTACTTTTTTTTTTTTTTTTTTATTTTCCTCGTTAACCCTCAACCGTCCGCCAAGATTTTTCTTCGATTTCAAAATTCGTATCCGTTTACTCGCTACTCCCCATTAGGCCAAGTACGCATAGCAGCGACGCGAGCTAAAATCTACTCAGTCGATAGAAGCTTTGAAGGTTCCTCTCATAGATGACAGCACCCGACACGCCACTCAGCGCACATCCACCTAAGTCTCATTCCCAGTTTTCAAAGCACGAGCAAGATTAATGGCCCATCACGTAAAATATACTTTTTTCGATCACAAGTCTATCTCGAGCACACACGATACACTTTAGCATATACGTCAAGTATATACTAGTTATGCGTTATACAAATATGTATACATAAGAACCCGCTGCCTTACCTTGAGCGACGGCCTCGTGGGATCCTTACTGAGTTCAGCGTATCTCGACTCGAAGCTGTCGTCCCAGTATTCTCTAGTGCGCATCCAAGATGGCTGCAACAGTAATAAAATGGCGTAGAGTTAGTCTCGTTATGCACAGACCTCAGCCATAAGGGTCAGCCCTTAGGTCTACCTTTCTGGAACCCTTCGGTAAGAAGTTACTACGTTAAAAATCGCCTTGCCTTTACAAGGCTACATAACCATACACACAACGCATATATAAACAATATTGAAAGTCCCAGATCGACACTGACCGAGGTTAACGATCAGGAAGGCACTTGGACTCCCCTATCGAAATCTCCTATCAGGCTTGAATATACGGGAGAGCTTATGAACCTGGTTTATATATATCCATATATACCTATATGTACTCGGACGATATATATAGTTACAAGTATTACGTAACAAGTATACCTATATATTTATCCAGATAAGCACATTGATTACGAGCCAAGTAAATACTTCTGAATAAACCACCGCGTGTTCAACCTCTCGAGCTACCTATAAAATGTTTATAAATTCATTTACCACACGCGGCCAACTTCACTTCGGTTACCGGACGCAAAGACGTTTTGTTCGATTCGCGACGGTGCGTGGGTATTCCTATGGGAATCCCCGGACGGCAATTGATCAGTCCGGGAAATTGCCTCGAATACAAGACGGACGAAGCAATCGAAAGGATAACGAAGGATTTCGTTTGACTTGAAAAAAAAAAAACAAAAAAAATTTTCCAAATTCACAATGAAAAAGATATTATTCAAATGGTCGGGAACGTGAAAGACATAAAAAGAATATCTTGAAAAATTGACGTCACGAAATTATCGTCTCGAACATTCCTTTTTATGTACACAAATAAAGATTGTATCGTTCGCAATAAAGTTTCGATTCATCAAGTCGGGTCCTTGTTCCTAAGGGAAATGGCGAGAGTACCTATATGTACCTGTGTATATATATACACGTAGATTTGGAAAAAGTCTCACGTATCATTCTCGCAAGCAGGAAGGCCAGAAAACCAGAAGAAAAAAAAACAAGTTCAGCTCCGGAAAGATCCAGCCTAATTCGCCAGGTGCGGGGGGCGGTGGGGGGGTCTTGGGGATGATCAATCCGTATGGTGGATCGTTTACCCTCGAGCGAGCGCCGAGTACTAAGTCTGGCCAAGAAAAAAAAAAAAAAAAAAAAAAAAAAAAAAAAAAAAAAAAAAAAAAAAAAAAAAAAAAAAAAAAAAAAAAGAAAGTTACTGAGATTATTTGGCCAACCGTTTATCCGCCAGAGGCGCCACTCACTATTTTCGGAACGCGGATAATTGCGCGGTAAATACGAATGTACGCTTATAACTTTTTACGTCTGATAGTTTTTACGAACTTGGTTGTACAGTTTTGGGTGAACTTTCTTACTGGATCTATTTACACGTAATTTATATACCTACACATATATATATATAGCCTACGGTAAATACAATTTTTTATATTTACGCTATTACATGTATATTCATTTTAGTATACTCATGTATACTATAGTACATATTTACCTTACTATACCGTACTGTGGTTTATGGAAATCATCTAATCGTTACGGTACTAGCGCGTGGTTGGTAATCCTCAATCAAAATCACTGTATACTGTTGGTACGAGTTTCCTCGCGGACTGAAAATTCCATTGGTATATATATGTACGTATATATATGAATTGAAAGTGACACCCTTCTCGAGTTCCTCGTAAATTCACGTGTCATTGATAATCCAATTTTCGCATCAGCATCCCAGATCGCAGCTTCGGCTTGGAGCCGCTGCAGTCGCTCTCGGCAAAGAACGTGCTGACGGTCAAATATTTGGGAACACACGTGAACGTAACCGGTAGCACGTGTGTACCTCGCATATAAGCGGACGCTCAAGGCTCGGTCGTCATGGGACGTCATGGGAATTGCTTAGGAATGAAAAATGTGAAAAATTATGAAAATGAAAATGTCACCCGTTATTTTACGGATGGACGAAAGGGATATACTGATTGAAAATTGCGAGAGTAATTTTTGTTGGAATTTGAAAAAAAAAAATTCCAAATTTTTTTAACGTCGAGATCCGTTCAAAATGGCGGAACGATCACAATTCGAATGCCATTATCTTCGCGATGGGGGTTGCCACCCTGCGGGGAGGGTGCAGCTACTCGACTTTGCTGAATGTTAAAGGGCGGCTGGGAATGTTTAGAACGTGGCTAGAGCGTGGGAGTGAGAGATAAAGAGAGATTGGCTAAGGGGTAAGAAGGAGGGATATATGGAGTAGCTATGATTTATAGTCTGGAGGAGCGAAATGTTATGGAAACACATGCGAAGGCGTAGAGGATCGAACTTCTGGCGAATAGCAAGTCTGCTTCAGGTCTGGGAACGTTCAGGACTTTTTTACCTACGATTCCTCGAGGATCGTAGAGTCTATAGACCGAAGTCTGGGATCTCCGACTAGGTTAGACACTCAAGGTCTTTTGTATCACCGAACTAAACGACCTTCGCAAAGAACACGCAACGACTGATAAATCGGTGTTTAAAATTTTTAAAGGGCGACCAGCTGTGGCGAAAACAAGAAAGGGTTGAAGATTTCGTTTAACACGGGAGGAGTTGGGAGAAATTTTTTTGATCGCAAAATTTTCACACAACTATACGTACACGGCGAAGAATGTACAACTCGAGAAAATTTTTTTTTAATTTGTAAAAAAAAATTATTTTACCCTTAAAATATTTTTTTTTTATTTACTTCAATTTTCTCTCACCCGCGAAAATATAGGGGTGCTTGGGTATTAGGTATTCCCATTTTGTAGGTAAGGTCAGTAAGGATGCTGTGAACGGGTTCTTAAGGTTTAGATAAATATAAAGAGGTTATCGTGGTAGATTCGCGAAATTACGACGGCAGTCGAAAAAGACGTGGTGAAGGAAAATCTTGGAAAATTTTTCCTCTTTTCCACAATTCGCAAAGACTCGACTCTGCTAATACGTTGCTATAATTTATTCACCCCCCACCCCCACCCCCATCTAGTACGAACGTGATCCCTCGCTCCGTTTCCCAAAAACCACCCCAATTGCCGAACGAGTCACGTCCGATATCCCTTTTTTTCTTTTTTCATTTTTTGTCCGCCCTTTCTTCTTCCGCCTCCATCCCAAGTATCTCGTCCGTGACAAATTAAGAATGATTACCCGCAGAACTCGCGATTTCGCGAATCTCTAAATCCGGTCACGAGAATCGGGAAGGACCGGGCTTTTGCGACTGTGCCGCGTCCAGGCCCAGCCTGACCCGACCTAACCTCACCTCTGTATAATGCACGAACCACCACCGGAGCGTGCTCTAATTGGGTGCGAAGAGGTTCCCCAACGTTTCCGGTGAGCTTAATGCCAGCAGGATGCTGGATACTTGGACCGATCGACGCATCAATGGATATCGATGGATAGATGGGTTCCACGGTTGGGCGGATGGGACGGATGCTTCAAAAGCCTCACTCGATCCTCGTGGACCAAATCGAAATTAAACGTTGACAGAAGACCCACGAATTCATGGATCGGAGAGCGCGGAAAGATGAAATCCATGATAAGCAAAAGCTATAACCGAAGATGTTAAACAAGGCAGCTAAGAATGGACCAAGATCCCTCGGGGATACGATCATCCGGTCGAAATGCGAATCCGCCGTGTCTACCGTATCCAATATACATAAAGTAATTGCAGGAGGACCATAGTCTAAATTCCTCTGTATACACGCTGGAGCATCGTGAGTTCGATATCGAGATGGGCCAGAGAAATTTCGCGGCTACACGGGAGCCAAGGTTGTCTCGTAATTAGGCTGATGGACAGGTATGCATACCTCGAGGACAATTACTCCGCAGTTCTCGTGATTACCATTGACAGTAATCACTATGAATTTCCGAGTGTTCTCTAGGACTAGTTCGAGAGCGTGTATCGCGTATTGATTTTCCCATGTGTTCCCTTTAGCTTCCCTTCTGGCTTCCATCCGGCGTGTGTGTTGGCGATGATGGCGGCGGCAAGTGGGTGGTGGGTGGTGCTGCTGGCTGTTGTAGCGGGTCCTTTATTTCCCTTATGGCATTCATCCCGCAACGTCGACGTGTCTCGGGCTCGTAACGACGTTTCGCTAATGAACGATCACCTTTCACCCGATAACCCTGCCCTATGGAAATTATCACGATTATCGTTATCCGTCCATTCGCACCGAGGAAACTTTAGCTCGGCGACTCGATACTTGGGGCTCCTGGACTCATTGTCTTCCACGTGGTTCGATGCGACAGGAGACACCCTTGGCGAAGACAATTGCGAGGAACTTCACGCCGGGGAATAGGGGGGGGGGG